CCGTTGACCACGAAGGCCTCAGGGGCAAGGCGGACATAGGTTTTGACTGCGTATAGGAATGCGCGGCCGCGTTTCCGGTCGCCGTTGAAGACGAACGGGGGGTTTGGTCGCAAGACCAATTTTGAGGCGAGGTCGACGTCTCCAAGCGCCTCGGGATCGCCCTGAACCGAAGTCGGAGTCGGAATCGACGTCTCTAGGGGTGGTGTTGGTTGGGGCCCGCCAGCAGTATTAGCGGCGGCAGTGGCAGCGGAAGCCTGGGTGGTGAGAAAAGCAAGGGTCTCAGTTAGGCTGTCGATTTTCGCCTCGAGTGAGTCCAGCCGAGCGTTTGCGTCAGGAGTAGCTCCGGAAGGCATAACGAGTGCGGGGACCACAGGAGCGGAGGAGGAGGGGACAAGTGGCAGGGGCGGTGGCGAGGGCGGAGTGGACTCGGACTCCGAGCCTGAGTCAGCGCCGAACCTGGCAATCTTGTCCGGTCGATCCCGTAGAGAGTTTCTTCTGCTGTAAGGGCAACCCCGGAGGCCTGAAGTCAAGGTCCTAGCAGGGGAGGATCCAAAGAGTGAATGATGGTAAGCACCGACGGGCCAAATGAGGGGTTCCCCTGACAGTTATCTGCACAAGAACCTATCAAAATCCAGTCAGAATCTATCAAATCGCTCTCAGTGATTCCAAAATCTTGACTAGGAAAAGTTCGCAGAGCCCGTTTCTCGCTAGAATCTATCCAATTCTATGCAAAATACCCAAAGGGAGTGTACTCTAAAAGGCATATTCGGTTTGGCGTTCAGTGGAGACTTGAAGTCGACAACTCCTAGATAAGGGACACCCCTATTTCTGTTGGGATCGACGACTGACATCATTGGAACGTGGTTTCGGATCTTGCTGGAGGATCGAGAGTGCCAAGGGACGGTTAAACGGCGAAAACCTACTCAATTGATTGGGGCCTGGACCTGTGATCAACGGCGACTCTAAAACACTGTCGAGGAACTGATCATCTGGACATTGGAAATGCGCCAGGAGAGTTGGGACAACTACCGCTGAGGCCATATGCACAAGATACGAGTTATAGGTGTCAATCAAAAGCTGGGAAGCAGAGCTATCAACTTATCCTACTCAAGATCGAGGGATTCTTCACAGGCAAAACTAGATGGTCGCGAACACGGAAGATTTACACAGGTCATTGACTCCAACACACGCTATACCAGTCATCTGGACCTGGATTTTCGACTCTGGGCCGTATGGTGAAACGATACCTATACAATTATGCACATGGACGACTTTTCTTACTCGAGATTTTCCTTGATTCTATCATTTTCGTTTTAGTATTTATATCACCGTCTTGTATTTGGGAGATTCACGGATTGCCCCGCTCTACTAGGTGCATCTGGGGATCTAGCTCGTCAATTTATCTTGCTAGCTCTTTCGAAATAGTATCATCGCGTCGAAGGATTATTGGTTGAGGGTTTCGGTTGCCATTTTAAAGAGAGTTCCGGTTGCTGTTTATTGGGTTTCGGTTGCTGGTCGAGAGTTTAAGGCAGTTAGTTCCTGACTCGAGACAACTCAGAGGGTTTAAGGCAGTTAGTCCTGATCTAACGAGTATAAACTCTCCGGGCATCGTATTGGCGCTTCTCTATTGCGGAGTTTCGTCGATAGTACACTTTGGGGCACAACAAATCAACGTTTTTCGCAAGAAACTCGTATCAACCCTACAACCTTACACATTTGTGCCAAGGCTCTGTTCACAGGGGTCTGTTCTCGCACAAGGAGTCGACGATTTTTGGGTTTTGTGACTTTTCCTACTCAACATTATACATCTTTCTCTCTACTTCGAGTGGAGTTTTGGTTGTTTTTGTTGGTTTGGTTAGTTTGAGAGCTCATTTGCTGTCCCCACTCCGCACTCATCAACGGTAGGCCTGAAGGTCGAGGTTGAATTTGAGTTTTTGCTTTTGACATGCGTCTCGGCGGCCTCGGCCGATGGCTGATCGTCTTTGCTGGTAACATTCGTGCGAGCTGCTTGCCTTCATAGTTTAAGACATACTATTGTGTATGTGTAGGTTTAGAACACTTATTTCTTCAAGTAGCCTACTCAATCTACAACAGCTAGGTAGGTCTGGCTATGCTATTTGATCATGTGACCATGCCAGCAGAGCAAAGAGCAATGCTAACCGACCAGCACCATCCAGAGGCGGGCGTTTGAGCCTCGCTCAAACAAGTATTATTCAATGTGTTTTCACAGATAAATGCAAACAAAAAATTGTAAAAATGCTACTAAATATCTAAGGTGTATTTGAGTCATGTTTGGCACTGAGCTGGGGCAAGAACCCTCTTCACGCACCAAGTCTCCGACAGCCTGGGAGTAGGAAGGCAGTGTGTGTCAATCAATGCTGTTGATGTGTACCTCACTTAGCGACGGAAGAAGAGTTCGCCCCGCCCTGGCACGGGCTTTATGACGAGGGGCGGCCAGGAGTCTACAGAATGACACAGTCTTGCCATCAGGAGGGCCTGTGAGACCAAGCACTTGCGAAAAAAGCCTCAGGACGGCAATGATGATGCGGGAAGTGTGGGGAGGACTATCAGTGATGCCAAGACCTCAAGACTTCCGGACTTGAGGAACAAGTTGGAAAATGGGACACATTGGGAGGCTCGAACGCGTGCATCTGGATGGTGCTGGTTGGTTAGCATTTCCCGTGTAGCTTCACGGGCGTAGTCACGTGATCAGATTGCGTAACCACACCTACCTACCTAATTGCTAGCTTTTGTACCTTGAAAAGTGCTCTATACAATACTTAGTATGTCTCAAAGTATACAACTACGAAGGCAAGAAGCTCGAGGGTATCGCCAATGTTACCAGCAAAGACGATCAGCCATCGGCCGAGGCCGCCGAGACGCATGTCAAAAGCAAAAACTCAAATTCAACCTCGACCTTCGGGCCTACCGTATGTAAGAAGTACTTCAACAAGTTAATTAAGTGACATTTTAAGCAAACCCTAAATTTCCATATTTACAGTGTGACTCGCACTACTCAATTTTACGTTGCCGGAGAATGAAGCAGTCCGCTTTGAACTCATCAAAGGCGCATTCCAGATGATCGAGCTTCTCGACGAGGTGGAGCACGAACTGCCTGTGTTCCGAGCTGTTTTCAGCCCACATGATAACCCCAATCTCGTTACTGATGTGGGTGGTCTTTTTTTTGCCTTCTAACCCTTGCTTACCGGCGTTGTAGTGGGAACTGCGCAAACTGGCACTTGACGCCTACCTCTGCTGAAAAGAAAGCTAATCTGATCCAATGCAGATATTGATATAGCAAAACCTCCGTCGGAAAAGCATAGCTGGCTGTCGGCTTGCCCGCCCTTTTCTCCAGCACGCCTCAATTCTCTGCCGTTACCTTTTGACAAATTGCATCCTAATACGGGTCTTCCATCCATTCCTGGGCAGACCTCAACGATGTTTGTCCTTGGGCTTACACATTTGTTTCTACTGACAAAATTTCCAGTCTCATAAACCAGCCATCGTTACAGACGATTCAATCCGAGACAAAACTCAGTTAATATCCCAAAGTGCTCCAAAGATGTCATACTTTACGTCGAAATCAAATAAGTCACATATCAGTCACAATTAAGAGCAGGGAATCGTCTGTAAGACGGCTGGGCTGGAACAGCTAGACCGGTCCGGTCCCGTCACCTTATCCCCGTTTGCTTGCTTCTTACACTCACTCGTCGCCTCTTGCCACTATGGGGCCACTCTCTTTCCTCCACTGCACGGCCATTCTCGACGCCATTGCAGACGTGCAGACGACCCTTCCTCGGCTTTATTCTCACCCACGCTGACACATTTGCGCTCGATTCCCGAGTATCTATCTCCCTTCCTTTCCCATCCGGCCACCCTCACTGGCGCTGACCAAAGACCTCTAGTCCCAGGTTGTCAGACTGCGGGTCGGGCCGTGCAAGGACTTCTCCTAAGAAAGCGCGGCCCGGAACAGAACAGACGGATAGTCGGGCCCGCAAGTATGGCGGGCGGGGTAGATCGTAACCAAAAGGGCCCGTGAACTCGGTCCCTTGCCGTAGTCGGTGGTCGAAGGTTCGAATCGGGTCGTGTCGGGCCCGATGAGTCGATAGCGTCTCCTCGCACGGAGTAAGGTAGTTCTTCAGACGATCTAAGCGATAGAGTACAAGGTACACTATCGCGCATTATATACGCGGGCCCGCAAAGGGGGGTGATCGGACACCCTGGCCTCTCCTCCTCCTCCTCGCTCCCGTTCCTGGCCGCAGAGGGGACGATCGCACATCCCTTGCAGGCCAGGCGCTACTCCTGACCTCCTAGCACTCCTCCCCAGTCCCCTTGTGTCGAGTTGGGCTCGGCGACGGCTCGACGCGTCGTTCTCGGTCACGTGCTTCCCACGTGTGCGTTCCTCCTACTGGGGCGCATGTTCTCCGTCGTCACGTGCTGCGTGCTACGGGCCCGCGATGGCCCGACACCAGCGCCAGAGCGGACGGGCCGGGTCTTATCCGTGACACAGGTCCCGGATTTCCATGGTCCAAACATGTCGAGTGTTCGTAGACGAGGCTCAAGGACATGAGGGAAATATGTGAGGTAGTGGGAAGATAAGTAAGCCGCTGGGCTGACGGATAGCAGTTGGCTGGGAGATGCCATCGTGGCGGAGGGAACCGATCCGAGGTGCAAATGAATGCCAGTGATCTAGTAGGAGGACGTAGGCAGCAGAATATAGTGTTGCTCAACGTTGGAGCTGGAGGACTGCTTAACGGAGATGTCAACAGGGCCGCTGCGGGCCGGTCGAGTTGTTCCAGCCCTCTTACAGAGCGCGCCCCACCCACTAATTTAGCGTAACATCAAATTTCATTGATCACAACACTCTTCTCGGACTTGGCTTGACTAGCGCTCTGTCACCGAGGGCTGGTTCATGAGACTGCAAAATTTCCAGCTTTGATAATGACCGTTTTGACAAGGATTTTCGGGTGAAGACTTTTATCTATAACCACCGCCTCGCTATGGACCCTTGTCTCCACCCGTCGCACTTCTATACCCATGGGGCGTATCTCCCGCATGGTACCGGCCCTGGACCATATCGAAGGCTGATTCCCCAATTCAGCTACAGCACTACGCCTCTGCACAGTGACATCCGCCCAGCGGTTCCGCTGAGCTGGGTAACTGACGATTTCCCTAATGAAGGACGACCGCCACCTTTAGGATTTAGTTGGGAGGAACGGACAGACGAACGATTGCAGTGGCGGGGAAGTAACACGGGAATTTGGCATGCGGCTGACGGGAGGTGGAGAGAAGCACATCGAATTCGGCTCGCTGCATTGGCGGGTGGTTTTGGGGGAGCCAATACAAGCGTGTTGATGCCTCTGAAAGATGAGGAAGAAGTTTCGCCTGTTGGCCCGCCGGAAGAGGTTCCACGTGCTCGTTTTCTGAATGCGTTGCTGGATGTGGCATTTGCGGGCCGCCCTCTGAACTGCGAGCCAAAGGAATGCGCGAAGTTGGAGGAGATGTTCGAATGGAGGGCAGCTCATGATCTCAAGAAGGCTGCCCACTATCCTCGACGTAGGTGTCGTGTTTGTCTTTCTCGTTGAACTCATTCCACATAGGTGGATGGGAATGGCTGGTCTAGTCGCTTCAAGCGTCTCATGAACTCTGGGTCTCTGATATTCAAGGCGAGCGGCTATCCGGAATGGTAACTTTTTTTGCTGATGTTGCCTCTTGCTGATCTACTTCCAGGTTCACCGATCGATTGGCGCCATGGGTACATTTTATTCCAATCCAAAACTCGTTCAGCGACCTGCTCGACGCACTTGTGTTCTTTCGTGGGGATCCAAGCGGTCAAGGTGCCCATGATGTCATGGCCCGACGTATTGCCGAAGCAGGGCGGGAATGGAGTAGGAAGTTTTGGCGGAAGGAAGACTTGGTGGCTTATAACTATAGGTGAGTGAGAGCTGCTTGAGAACTTTGCTGACCAGATCTAGATTGTTCCTGGAGTATGGACGCGTTATGAGTTCAAATCGGGAGGAAATGTCGTTTATAATGTGGGAGGATGACCAAGAAGACGAAACACGGGAGCAAGAGCTAGTAGACAGATGGAAGCGCAAATAATGTTGTACGCTGTATCAATAGTTGTCTTTTTTGTTTGTTGTACATACTAGTAGACCCACAAGCGCCCACAGATTGCTGCCGGACCAAAATTGATCACGCGATCGGGGGCTGTGCATTCAAGTCTTCTCTCAAACTTTGACAGATGAACGTTTGTCGGCTCAGCGGCCTTTTGCTCCTTGCAGTCCCACGGAAATCGTGAGTGTTTATGCGAATATATCCCGACCCTTCTTCCTCCCACTAGGCTATGAAGTTTGGTCGAAAAATCAGCGTAAGGGCTCGGTGTCTTCTTCCGCCACCTGCCTCATCACTATGTCATCGACGGACTTGGACAACGAATGGCGCCCATTCTATCTTGATTACAACCTTTTGAAGCGCGAGCTCAAGGTGAATTCATCTTGCGCAGGCCGTGTTTTCTCGTATGCTTATCCGTATTGATAGGCTCGCACGACAGGGCATGGCTGGAGGTCCAAGGACGAGAAGGAGTTTACTCTACTGCTCGAGAAGGAGCTCGACAAGATCCACGACTTCCAAAAAGCAAAGGTAGCCCTTGCCCGTTTCCATTCACGACCCAATGTTTATTTTGCGCGTGCCTCTAGACCACCGAGCTCGCTCACCGCATTCGCGAAGCAGAGAAGGACGTGAAACGGCTGGTGAACGAGGAGCGCATATTTGAGGAGAATGCGCTGAGGAGTCCGCGACATCACCGGATGCGTTCGCCAAGCAGCCCTGACCCAGAGACCCAGTTGGAGGACAGTCTTGGCCTTGACGGTGGCTCTGATGACGATACTGACTCCGACGAGGATGTCTCCTCAATGGGCGCCGACTCACTCGATGCCCTGGAGGCCCGTTTCCATGGGCTGGAGGAGGAGGTCGCGAATCTCGTTGCAGACGTTCACGACTTGGCGTTATATACCAAGCTCAACATCACGGGGTTCATGAAGATTTTGAAGGTTCGCATTGTCTTGGTTTTCCTACAAGCTCGGTCTCAGTATCTCTTTCTCAGAAACACGACGTTGGTGCTCGCCTGCTTTATTTTTCAGAATAATGACTTTAGAGGACAGAAACTAACGGGATTATCTCTCAAGTCCACCTTCGTCCAGGACTACCTCGAAAAGCGAGCGTTTTACAAGTACAACTGGGACGCGCTTATCGTCAAGCTCTCCAAGTTGTATGATTTAGTGAGGACAAGAGGCCATCCTGTCCAGGGCGACTCGAGTGCTGGCGGGAGCCAGAGTGCTTTTGTGCGACAGACGACGAAATATTGGGTGCATCCAGACAACCTCGTGCCGCTCAAGCTTGCAATTCTGCGTCACCTGCCTGTCCTCGGTTTGTCACAGTCGGAGACCACGAAGGATCACTAACTTTGAACAGTGTTCAATGCCGAGAAGGAGTTCGACCCCAAGGACGCTGCTATTACGTCAATATATTTCGATAACGAGGACCTCGAGCTGTACCTTGGTCGTTTGGAGAAGACTGAAGGTGCAGAAGCTATTCGTTTACGGTGGTATGGCGACATGGGCGTCAGAACGGTGAGTTGTCTTGCCTCCTCTTAGGCTACACTGACTGGTCCAGATATTCGTGGAGCGGAAAACCCATCGAGAGGATTGGACGGGTGAAAAGTCTGTGAAAGCCCGGTTCCCAATCAAGGAGCATCTCGTCAATGCATTCTTGAGAGGCGAGTACACCGTTGACGAAGAGTTTCAACAACTAGTCACCAAGGGCAAAAAGACGCGACAAGAGGTGGATTCCATGATTCAGCTGGCGAACGAGGTCCAGTATGCTGTTCTGTCAAGAAAGTTACAACCTGGTATGTCTTGAGTAAGAATGGGCAAACATCCAACTCACCAACTTGTCAGTCATGCGTTCTTTCTACAACCGGACAGCATTCCAACTTCCTGGTGATGCTCGAGTCCGGATATCGCTCGACACAGAGTTGACGATGGTGCGCGAGGACAATTGGGATGGGCGGAGTCGAGCGGGTGATAACTGGCGGAGAACGGATATTGGAATTGACTATCCATTTGAGCAGTTGCCGGCAGACGACAAAGAACAGTTCAAGTGTGTGACCACAAAGTCTTTTCATTCGTTTTCTGACGTTGGGTTAGATATGGCGTTCTCGAAGTCAAGCTGCAAACACAGTTTGGCCAAGAGCCTCCGGAATGGGTGATGGAGTTGGTGCAGTCGCATCTTGTTGAAGCTGTCCCAAAGTTCAGGTGAGTGGATTTGGCAGAGCTTGGCCAGGCCTCGTGGACTCACGAAGCCTTCACGCACGTTCGTAGCAAGTTTATTCATGGATGTGCTACGCTTTTACCTAACCGCGTCGATCTCGTTCCGTTCTGGCTACCTCAGAGTTTGTTAACTTTTTTTGAGGCACACAAATGACTAACGAATCGCAGTGGACATTGACATCTTGAAACCCGATACGGGTTACCTGAGTGTTATCGAGCGACCACCGCATACACCATCAGCCGGTTCTTCGACGAAGGTCACCGAATAGTGATGATGCCTACCATGAACCGCTGTCAGAGCGAGAAGAGGATGATGATGCTGACCGCCAACCGGCTTATGACGAAGACAAGCGGACGGGGTTGAGTGGGAAAGAGGTTGCCGAGGCGATTGCGTTCAGGGAAGAAATGCTCAAGGCGAAAGGCAAGGCTCCTGCCAACCACGAAACCAACGGTGGCGACATCAAACCTCCCAGTCCACGCAAGGGCCTCGCTATACCGCCTAAACCGCGAGCCTTGTCGATTGACCCACTTGCACCATCATTGGCGTTCGACGAGACATTGCGGGATCGTCTGAAGGGCGAGAGGCGGGCACAGAAACGGAGAGAAGAAGAACAGTCGACTGAGACATTGCGGGAGGACCAGGAAGAGCGAGATGAGGATGACCCGCTTCTACCGCGACCACGGGATGACGAGCGACGAGTGTCACGGGATGTCCATGCCCCACCAGGCAAACGAATATCTGTCCCAATACGCATCGAACCCAAGGTATACTTTGCTGCCGAGCGGACGTTCTTGGTGAGATTCCTTGTTGTTCTTGGAGTTGAGCTAACACGATTCTTGCCTAGAAATGGCTGCATAATGCTGTATTTATTGGCACAATTGCAACTACGCTGCTCAACTTTACCGAACCCAGCGACACGTATGGTCTGATTAGCGCTGCGCTGTTTACTCTTGCAGCCCTCCTGGCCATTGCGTATTCCGCCGCAATATTTGTTTACCGGGCGCACCGTCTACGCGCTCGGAGGGCAGAGGGCTTGTACTATGACAAGTATGGGCCGACCGTTTTGTGTGTTGTTCTGTTTCTGGCTATGGCGGCCAATGTTGGGATGCGTGTGGCGGAGATGGTGGACGATGCTTCAGACTAGGACGTGTTCTATCTTGGACAATCGTGACTGCAGTACGTACACACTGGAATGTATGTCTATCTAGTATGTCTTTCCATGCAATGGGTGATCGCGCTCCGTCACGGTCAGGTGATCGGTGACTTCAAGTAACTCAAACGAGTTTGGAGTTGAGGAAAGTCTACTGGGACCGGTAGCACTATAACAGCTCGAAAGGCCATTTTCATGACTACAAGTCCGAGTCTTTAATTAGTGTCGCACAATCTACTTAAATCAATGAGTAACGCCGTTGTCACGGTGTGACCCACCATGCACTTTTCCATCCCTTCCGATATGCTATGGACGATCATATATCGATCATACTCAATCAACGTCCTCCAACTCGCTGCAACACCTCAACGTACCTGTCTTCACATGCGGAGTAGCTTTCAGCGTCATTTCCAATCCTTCTAGTTCAACATAGGCCGCAACTGAACCCTTTCCAGGTCCAGGAAGTTCCTCATGCAGGAAAAGTTTTCGACAACATTAAATCAAGCTCGAGCGGCACATATGATGGTAGTGGATATGTTCCAAGCTCTCAAGACTCGCCCATCGGTCCCCAGCAAGTCCCTGATTCCAATTGCCTAACCCACATTTGTGGCACGGTGTATACCAGAGGAGCGACCTGTCAAGTGCGTCATTCATAGCCAAATCAACGGCCACTGACCTAGGACCTAGCGTTTGCCCAATCCACATGAGGATTTCGACGACGTGGTTAATACTAAAGGGGTTCCACTCGTATTCAAGCGCCATGTTCTTACGCAACTCGCGCGTTTACTCAGTTCCCATCATGCTCTTGTGTTTCGTCGACCTCCGGGATGGGGAATTGACTTCTTCGCGTCGATGGTATCTGCCACATTCGACAGAGACTATGATCATCAGGACGATCCCTTTGAAGTCTTAATTGGAGAGCAGGGCTTGACCTCAGGACGGGACGATGGCCACCATTGTTTCTTTGTGTTGGACATGGACTTCAGGGACCTTCCTGATGAGGCGGACATCCGTACCAACCTCCACACATATCTCGAGAAGGAGTGTGGGGAGTTCATCTCCCGTTACCGTCTCGAGAAGCGTATGGCTCCGCCTAGCCTCTACAAGGTCTCGAAAGATGAGCCAGAAAGGTTCATCATTCTCCTGGCGGTGTGTATTACTCTTCAATTCCCTCCGTGCTCTCATGTCTACACTCTGAATCTCCAGATGTGCCTCCTACGTGTATCAAGGGCTCCGCTATTGGTGATCATCAGAAACTTTGACAGCCCCATAATCAACTATGGGGAGGGTCGGGCGGTTTTGAATCCATTCCTGAACGCACTAGAAGGAGAAGTGAGGTCTCGAATAGTTGGGTCGCTGCTGCTGCTATCCACCTACGATGATGGCACGGTATACTCTTGCATGGGTCGAAATGCGTTGTCCATGATCCGCAAAGTACCAAGCCTCCCACCTCCCGATCTTCCCCGCACCCTCGACTTGACTCATCACCTTGCATTCCAGACCGCGGTTGGTTTTACGCGCAAGGAGATCGACTCCCTCGATGACGCCTTCAGCCGCCTCGCGGTGCATGATGCCCGGCGTATAGTCGATATGTTGGACGCCGGTTACGCCCGACGTTCTTCATTCGGGGATCGTCTGAATGTGGCAGGGAAGCATCAATGCCCACGCCACCCGCTCGACAGCCCGTTCTTCCAAGAAGAAGACCCATTAGCAGCACTGGACACCACTGGCGGGCTTGAAGGGGTGTATGGAGCACACCTCGTGCTGAGACTGATTGCCCACAAGTATGGCCTTCCCAATAACCATGGACGCTATCTGTGATATTTTACTCGTTTACTCTTACCATCGTGAATACTTAATCGCGCTGTCACATGTCAGTGTGACTTGTGGGTCCCTCAAGCAAAAGGCCAGCCACTTTAACGCAGCCAGGACTCCGATACGGTAAGTCCATAAAGTCGTTGCGAAGACTTCTCATTACCATTGCCCAACCTTGTCAGAACCAAGTAGTCCGAAACGGAGCTCGATTACAAGACTGGGGCCCTCAAGGCTCAAGCGAAACGCCAGCCACCTCAAGGCAGCCAGGACTCCGAAACAGATATCCTGGTCCACGAAGTCGTTGCGAAACGCTTTGACTTATTTATTCTCACCACCTCATCTAGACATGAGTGACAGCAGTTGGCCAGACCGCTGTTTCGTCCAAAACAAGGTGGGGAAGGAAGTTGAATACGAGCTGACTTGAATAACAAAACCACAGGAGTGCTTTGACTGTCCAAGTCCCGAACTCGACACTTGTCCGAAAAGCAGCTCACAAGACCCCTTCTCACCTACCCAAACAACATACTAAACCAATTCCTATCTACAACAAGCCGAATCAGGATGCTATCCGAGAAATGAAAAGACATTGGAAAAGGACAAGATTTCGCCGGGCCAACACTCCAGGTCAACAAGGGTGGCAATTGGCAGATGACGTCCAAATCCGGGATATAGATTTGCCCGGCATTCAAGAGCCAGTTGCGGTTTTGGACGAGAATAATCAACTCTTAGTGGTAGCATTCCCTAAGGGACTGACGAAGAAGTCTGCGGTGCGCAACAAGTTCCGCGTCATCACTTATGTTGATTCAAACCAATAGGATATGCTACTGCATCACATTATCACCCTTGCGCAAGCCACCAATGTACGAAGGCTGGTGCCGATGGCCGAACTCGTGGTTGTGTGGACAGCTACATCATCAAAGAGGGTCATATCGCTGGAATGATGAAGCTGAGTCGGTCCTGACATGGAATCGGGCACTCGGTAAGCCCTTCTTCAAAATTGTGGTCACATTTTTAAAGTCTGCAGCACGCCATGCCCGGGCCAGCAAAAGATGTGACAAAAACCTAGAACACACCTTGCGGTTCTATCGCGATGTGGCTCCTGTCTCTCGCCATGATCAACGTTGTTGACCCTGTGGCATACCGTGGCCTCCAAGAGCTTCGCACCGTCTCTGAACAACAACTCGAACATGTGGCTGCCTTCGGTGTCCACGATCCTCTCCTCATGGAGGGTCGGGAAGTAATGCTCAACCGAGACAGTCCCGAACACTACGATGAGCAAGACCCAAAGGATCTCTATGTTCTTCTCGTTCCCCTAGGCGTCTTTCAAGGCGGCGTCTTGGTTATCCCGGAGCTTCATATTCGTCTACGGTACCTTCACCGCTCAATGGTGATGCCTCGAGGCAAGGCATTGGCACATTACGTCGAGCCTTGGACTGGTGGTCAAAGAGTTTGTCTCGCCCACTTTTCTCATGCGTCTTTTTGGCGTTATCTTAATGTTGAAGTTCCAGAAGCAAAAGGATTAGTAGTGGGCGATGATATTCGGCTTGTCTGGGAGAAGAAGCGGAGAAGAAGGAGTAGGTTGCCAGAGGACATTAAAATTGGAAAGAGGCAGAAGGAGATTCATAGATCTACTGTACGTAGCCGAAAGGCAACCAAGTAGCCAGCGTTGCAATGTAGTTCACTTGCCATAGTCGGTGTTGGATTGGATGGTGGCGATCGTGAGCAATCTCTGTCTGGCCGAAAAAGGAGATCAACGTCTTCTCTTCTTCCTCCATGTCGACTCGGACCACTCCGTCAACAACACGTAGCACGTGGTTTACTCCTCTCTACCGCACTGCTCTTAGACGAGCTCGTGAATGGGCCACGCCAGGGCCTAACCGTTGATGACGATGAGGTGGCAGCAGCTTTTTTGCAGCAGAGATCTCCTCTGCCTTCAGCCTCCTCATACACACCTCTTCGCATATACCACCCCCAAGTACGGCTTTGGCCAGTTGCATGTGCAGATGGTGTGGCCATGCAGTGCCAAAACTAGGCCGTTTTGGCTTGAATAACCACGACCGACTGAAAACAACTCGCGCGTTGGGCGAAAGAAGTCCATACGTCTTCAAACTCGACTTCGGCCTTGGAGCGACTTTCCACCACAGTACGGAGGCTTCAAAGTGCGTTCTTTGGCCAGCTTTCCGAATTGTCAGGCTGATTTCTTGCAGAACCTGTCAAATGCGCCACCAGCGCCGTATTCTCTCCGCTTTCCTCATCTCAAAACGACCTTCTCCTCTGTACTACGACTATATTTGCCCTTGTCGACAATGAAATACCAGCTAGTCACCATTGCCATCGTTTGTCGCCGATAATAGCCCCAATCACCTCTCACACCAAGAACACCAAGAACTGCCCTCGGTGGCCCTTGGCAACCCAATAAATGGCCCCCGCACCTCACCTCCCTTTGGTTAATCACCCGCCGCCGCCCCAAAATGATTCACTGCTCTTGTTTTCGACTTCGCCAATGCCAATCTCGTCCAACATCCTACAATGGCATCTTTGGCTAGACGATGTACGGTTTACAAAGCACTGTCGTTGCTACCTTTTCGTGCAAAGGTAGCTGCTGTAGCCGATACGCTTTATCATGGCTCGCAGCGTTTTGCGGCTCAAACCATGGCTTCCACAGCAACCATTCATCTGTCTTGACCATGGCCATTTGCTCTCCGTCCATTCCTTATGCCAACCAGCCAGGAATTCACTACTCGGCCAAAGGACGATCATTCGCGTCACAACGACACGCTTTCCACATTCGACATGCCAGTTCTTGGACATGTCGCGGACGCGAATTGAGTCTCTACTTGCATCGTTTCCAAAGCTTTTGCCTCCGCCATCTAGCACACAACACACACTGATAGAAACACCAGATGTTCGCTACGTTCACTAGCCATTGGAAGAACTCTACATCCTGCTGATTACCAACAAGGCGTCTAATCTCCTACGAGATATAGACATGCTCTACCTTCTTGTGCGTGTTGCCTCTGACATGTGCCAGAGCGTAGCCGAGAGCCAAGTTGCAACACGAGCCTTGGAGCTACTTGGCGCGTTTGACGAGGTGGTTGGGATAGGTTGGCTCTGTGAACCTTGTTCAAGTCAAGAATGCTCTGGAGATAGAACATTACAAGGAAAAGATTCAAGAGATTATCGCCCGGGTACGTCTTTGGAAAATAAGTTTTCTTGGATTATTTGCTGATAAGTTGTCTAGAATAAGGAAGCAGAAGCTAAAGAGGAGCTCAAATGTCGTGCCAAACAGCTCGAGCTGCAGTGGCGCGAACAACAACGTCGCGCGGCAGGCAACTCTGGCTTTTCTTTGTCTGGATATGGCGGCGGCATCATTGGCTATTCACCCGTACCCACTTCATATACCCCACCGCCTCCCACTGTCTCAACTCCCATCAATCTCAATACTGGTATAGGAGCACGCGCGCCTTCATTCAGAGCTTCTGGAATAAAGTTGGGCAGCAACTTATCGACGCGCTTGGAAGCGACTACATGGCTTCTGGTATCGGTCTGGCTTCTGAACCCCCAACTCCTTCCGTTGCTGCGGCCCCGCAGACTGTTCAATCTACGAACAAAGGCAGAGGTAGCCTGCCCGAAGTTGTACCAGAAAGGTTTGTCCCAAACCTTGTCAGATTCCTTGTCGAAACTCAATGATCCACATAGCATTAACATCAGTATCACCGAGCAAATCACCTGCTCATTACTCCGTGATGGAGGTTTAGAGAAAGACATCGAGCTTAAAGGAGACACAAGTATAATCGTCCGTGCCTGTGGCATGGACTACCAGAATAAAAAAGACTTTTTGCAGCGCCCACACGGCCGCTCGCCTGCGGCTCGCGACCGGCGGGCGGTATCCGAGGGTGGCACGTGAATATCATGTGTTTCACGTGCGTCCGCATGACTTTCTGTCAATGCCGGCACGGTAGTGTTTTCATATATAAGAAGAGAAGATGAACCTTTTAATCTCCGACTCGGCCAACGCTTGCATTTCCCTGACATTGACAACGACAGACGATTCCAACTCACTTGTGGCAGCCTTGCAATTTAAACAACACCCACAAGTCGCCAAGTTCGATGCGAAGGCAAACCGCAATGAGGCCAAGAAGATTGCTCTTCGTGACGCCTCAAAGACCTTCCCCATCAACCAAAACCTGGCAGTTCTGAAATGGCGGTATAAAGGCAACAATAAATCCACCGTTCCGCTTTCCAGTGGGCTATATCTTGCATTTGATGTTATGTTTCAAGCTCACACTACGCAGTAAACTGCTGGCCCACACCTTCGAACGATGGTACATGCGAAGTCAGCATCGAATTTGAGCTCGAGAACGAAAGCGTGATACTTCACGGCCTGGAGATATTCATTCCTTTACCGTGAGTTCATCTTATACCCTTGACCTATCCCACCTCTCAATAGCTTTTAGTGCAGGATCCTACCCGACAGTCTCATCACACACCAATTCACTTGCGTCGACCACTGCCATTGTAGATGGTGGGTACCCCGTTTTTGGGTCCTCTTTGAAGTGCTGAATACTTTCTAAGCATCATCGCGAAGCTGTTTACTGTTGGGGGTGATGATCCCGAGACATTTTTCCCAGTCCGTGTTGCCTTTGTTGGCAAGGTACGTGGTGGCGTGGGCCAAATCTACTTGTTATTCTAAACGAGGAACAGGGTAGTCTCGCGGGTGTGGGCATTGCACAAACGTCGCTTGAGGACGGCGCAGATGCAGTCTTTTCTGTCGACTCGGTACTTAGTCACTGTCGATGGCTATTTCGTTGTCTGAGTTATTTTCGTACTGGGCATGATGTACAAATTCAACAGAAACCATCAGTTATTCATTGTTTCTTGCCTCTTCTTCTGTACTTAGCCCTTGCTCTTCAACCTTTCCACTGCGCAAGCCGCTCTGTTCCTTGATTCCCACCAGGCTCCTAAACCAACCCTCGTTGCAGAGCGCAATCCGAGGGTGTATTTCAGGCTAAATATGTATCAATTTAGTACAAAATCAAAATGTGACATGATGTTACGAAGAGTTTGGGCGAGCGCTCTGCAAGAGGGCTGGCCCAACTAACCCGGACCGACCACCGAATATCTCCGGTTGGGCTGGCATCAATTCATCAATGGCTTCCCTCCCCCAGCGTAGCGGGGGCCCTTCCACTCGTATTTCTCCACCATCCACCCCATCTCATGCCCCCCAAACCCACCAACCGACCTCCAAAGCCCGCTCCGGCGCCACCACACCACCACGATGAACAGTCAAGAAGGTTTGTGCACTTGGACAAGAGGTGTTCAGCCAGCGGCTGTGTCTGTCCCAGATACACCCAGCACTGGCTCAGATGAAGGTCGGGGTTGAGGGGGTAACAAGCAATGGTGGTGCCCAGCAGAACGGCATAGAGCAAGCATAGAGCTGGAGCGGCGGTAACGCCAACCGGAGATAAGTGCACCGCCTCGGCGCTCGGTCCGGGTTATAGCTCTTTGCAAAAATGTAGGTGGTTTGTGGAGCCTACTCGATGCTCCAACCTGTTTATTGTTGTTGTGGCTCCTGTCAAGTTTTAAGCTGGCCTGGGAACGACCCAGTGGAGCCAGAGACCCATTTATGGGAAAAACACGACAACAGATGTAAACAGGTTGGAGCGCTGAGCGCGCTCCACAAACCACCTACACTTCTGCAAAGTGCTGTAGGTTGGGCCAGCCCTCTTGCAGAGCGCTACCCCAACTCTTTTCGTCACATCATGTCACATTTTTGATTTTGAATAAATAAATAGCTTATAATAATCTCTCAGAATTGGCCTGACTAGCTCTGCAACGAGGGCTGGTTTAGGAGCCTGGATTCCCACCAGTCATCGGTCCGTCTGATTCTGTCTGATTAATCACCGAATCTAGACAGTCATTCCTTCATTGGGGAGCTTGCTCCCCAATTCTGCAGCAACCGAAAAACTTAAGGAAAACCTCCCACACGACGTCGAGTGTGGGAGGTTTTCGAGGCATCGCCGAGAAAATCCGAAAAGCCGAATGATTGTCGCAAGCTCCCCATCAGTAAGCTGAGCATCAGTTTACAAGATTCATGTTTTAACCCACCACCCCCACCATGTCAAAGCTGCTCAGCGACCTCTGGGCCAGCACTCCCTCGGCTCTATGTTCCGCTCAAAATGCGTCGAGTTACCCATTGATGCTGAATCAGAATCTCTGACGGTCTGTTCTTCTTTCTCTGCCAATAAGTACTCTGGTGTAGCGTGGTACACCAAGAAGTCGTGATCACACATGTGCGGAGCTGCAATCTCAGTTTGCTGCAGCAACTCTCGTTGGTGGTAAAACAGACTACAAGACGATGAAAACCGATCTTGACAGGATGTAACCAAGTCTCTGACCGGCCTCCTGCGGAGACAAAATCAGCATTCGACATCAGGATATCGGCAATCGACTTCAAGTTCACTCGCAAACCCACTCTCGCTCAATTGGTCCACCCATTCACAGCAATGAACTATCCCAACACTCCCAGCCAGCACAACACTTGGTCGATGGCCAGCTCGCCTACTCCCACGCTCTATGCAGCCTCTGACGCTGGCAGCGATATCACCATTGACAACCTCCCAACTCCAACCAACTTTGCGGACGCGCTTGCCAACTCGTTTGATATCTCAATCCGGACTATCGCGGGGACCTTCACGCGTTTTACCAGGTTCAACTGAGTCAACTCTTCATTTCATATGTCCTTCACTCATTGCTTGGTATAGCTTGGTTTGCAGCCGAACGGACTGTCGTTGCAAATGACCTACCTACTCGCTGCCCAGCTCAAGGTACTTCAGATCGCCGAGCGTGTCTATGCCCACCACGAGGACATCAAGAGCGTGCTCCAGGAAGCTATTCAAGTTGTGGCGCTCGGTCAAAACACGAGCCTGACCAACGAACAGAAGGCTAGTCCACTTGCAACATTATATCCTCTCTCATCATTGCGTGGATACCTCTATATCCTATATGAAGTTAACTCAACCGTGAATCGAAGGCCAACATCATGCGGAGCCACATCGTCGACGACAAGCATAAAAAGCGAGAATCGTCGCTGTGCTCAGCCTTTCCAACCCGACCTGCTTACAACAAGCTTAAGAAACCAAGTTCAACGATGGGAGAAATGTTCGATGCAGGTGAATACTGCAAGAGTCTTGTTGACCTGAAGGAATACAGTGGTGGAAATATACTCACGGACAGCCCAGACCTCATCGTCAAGTGCGCAAAATTTCAAACCGGACACAAGTTGGAAGACATCTCGAATCCGGAGCTCGACGCAGCAAACCGTCCAGCTTGATCGTGGTTGTTGGCGTCATTTCTGACGATAACCAGGCCCTCAAGGCAATTGGAGAATTCGGACCGGAAGTTTGCGAGCGCGAAGTTTTCGATGCAGTCGGCCAAACCACACCAATTGGTATTCAACTGAAAATCTTGGGTATCTGTATGGGCTCCCTTGGAAAAGAAAACCTTCACGCACTTAAAATAAAAATCTCAACAACCTCGAGCCAGCAATACCTGATCACCCCACTTCGTCATTAACCACATCGACAACGTCAATGGTAATGTAATTTCAAGCTGACACCATAATACGTATACTCATTGTGTGTTATATAGGTGTACTCAAACAAGTTGTCGTCTTGAAAGAACCACTGTCACGCTCACTAACCTACTTACACCTCATCTCCAGTTGGCCAAGAGTAGGCTTTGGCCTTGCCGCTGTAAGTTATATAACGACCATGTTGTGATCTCCACCTGACTTGGATGAAACAGAGACATGACTCCTATGAAAGACCAGTTTCCGACCCCAGATAAAACGGCTACGTATACCAGTCAGTGCGAGTCCCCAACCTCACTGAACTGAGGCTCACCTAACGTCCTAGACTTGAAAATTGAGTACAACACGATACACGCCGATCATAATGCACTTCTGCTCCAACATCACGCTCTCAAGTTGGACAACGCTGGGTTGGAAGCCCAACTTGTGAAGATTCGAGCCACTAACACAGCACTCAGAGGTAAAACAGCCGCCAATGTTTATGAAGACGTATTGATTGTGATATTAGCCAAGTTCTCAAGACCAGGGTTTCAGAGTTGGAGGATCTATGCGAGTCTCAGCAGGAAGAGATTGCCGGACTGCAGAAGAAGATTAGTACTGCAACCCATGGACGCGAGCGTTTCTTCGCCACATCTATTGCCATCCAGAAAGAGCTCAAAGTCGAGAAACGAAAACACGAGCAGCATATCTCTACTCTGGATAAAACAAAGCCGATACGATCTTGACGACAACAAGGATGAAGGCGACTCGCCTCGTGGAAGATCTATTACAGAATCTGGTTGTGGCGGTCGACTTGGCACTCAGCAAAGTGGAAGAGGAAGGGACGTCTCAATGCGTGAGATTGATTTGTCGTATACCTCTGATACCGTCTGAAATGTGTGTTGCTTTGGTTTTGCAGTCAAGTTGTCGTAGTCTTTTCATATGACAAAAAACAATATCATTCTTGGTTCTTACTCTCATGGCTCGCGATAAAAGTCCCCGTTTCCTCTGCTTAAGGCTCGTTGAAGTCGGTGCTACCGACGCCTGGCTCGTGGCGCTTGTCATCCTGTGACTCTGCATCCTCTCGCAACTCTGCATCCTCTCGCAGGTCGCAGCACTGTCACTTGTCAGAACCAGCAGAGAGCGAATCCGCCGATATCCCTCCAACCACAACACCGTCTACTTGGAGTGAATCCAGCGAAGACAAGCCTCACCCAATTTGCTGCAAAATTGGCGATAGCGAGCATCTACAATAAGTCCGCGACAATGCAAGAGATTGGATATGGTGAGTGAGACATCAAATGAAAGAAGTGCGGGGTACTCACCCAGTTTGCCAATATTATGAAATATCTGACTTTTACTTCGGTCTGTTTCTTCATTCGAAGATTCACTTCATTTGCTTGTTTGCTTGGAGATGTCCAGGCTATACGAGTTATTGCCAAAGTCCTCGAGGCCCAATATATTTATCGAATCCCAAGTCACGGTGAGGTGGGTTCAGCGAGTTCAGCAAGCCGTTTGTTACTAGGCTCGCTTCGCTTGCAGGTCGTGCACGATCAATCATGCACGATTCACAAAAGCCAAAGAGGCGAGCTGGGAAGATGATTTCAAGCACACAATCTTCGTTAGATCAGTAGTTTCTTGTAAACTTGGGGACATGGCTTGTAATAGGCGGTCCAAGGCAGGAGCTACAGGCCAGATTCAAGTTCGCTAGGATTCGCTTTGGTCATCATCGTCGTCACGGTCACGTCACAGGCGCAGGTTGCGTTAGGTTGCGTTCTGCTCGATCCGACCCACCAACTGAACTTACCCAATCGTCTGATGGTCAATGCTTACAGCTGATTGCAGAAGTTTGGGCGGGTCGTGGAGCTCGTTCAAGCTCCAATTCTGTCAAATTTTTTCCATATATGGTCGAGAGGCTCCACTGAATGCTCTCGCACCAGCGTTAACTCTTACGGCACAAAACACTTGTAAACAACAAACGAGGCTCCACACCCGCCCAAACTTCTGCAATCAGCTATAGCGGGAAATAAGACTCACCTTTACAATCGTCTCAGTCTCATTAACCATCCGTCGTTGCAGAGCTACGCAAGCCAGATCCAAGAGCAAGTGTATAAATTATATTACTAATTTTGATTTCCGAGATGTTCCGAGATTAACGTAAGGATATTTGGGGGGGTGCGCTCTGCAAGACGGCTGGAACAGCTAGACCGGACCGCGGTGGTCCGTTGACTTATCCCCGGATGCACGATCACTGCTTACCGCACTTCTGCCATGCATTCACTGCCGCCTCTCGATATTTTCCGTTGCATGTGGGTCTCCTCAACACTCTCGAGGACGCCCCAAGCTTATTCTCGGCCTGTTCTCAAAGGTAGTACACACACACGATGGGGTACCGGAACGAGAAACCCAGAAAACATGTCATAGAGGTTTTGAGGTGGCGGCTTGGAGATATCATCGTTGATATGACCGCGTGTGTATCATGAATATACAAGGAGTTGAAGTGTAGGGAAAGAATGGAGGGAGGGAAGGGGGAAAAGGAATAAGTGTCGACAAGAAAAGTCTGCTCGGACGTCCCAACCGGGATATGTCAAACGGAGCCTGCGGCCCGGTCTAGTTGCTCCAGCCCTCTTGCAGAGCGCCCGCCCCACAAATCCTCACGTAACATCAATCATTTCGGATCAATTACGCATTTAGCCCCGAAAAACTGCCCTTTGGAATTGGCCTGTGTAGTAGCTCTGCAACGAGGGATGGTTAATCAGCCTCCAACCAGTCACTGCTCCGTCGTAAATCTGCGATATCCTAGAGCAAGTGTCAGTTTGATTGAATATACCTGATTTGGTGTAATTTGATGATATGTGACAATGTGACGCCAGAGTTTTTCGATTTACGACTGCGAGCCTCCAACCAGTCACTGCTCCGTCGTAAATCTGCGATATCCTAGAGCAAGTGTCAGTTTGATTGAATATACCTGATTTGGTGTAATTTGATGATATGTGACAATGTGACGCCAGAGTTTTTCGATTTACGACTGCGAGCGCCTGGCACCAAATGGTGTTGGTCGTGTTTGGCACCACCACTGATGGCCCATCACTCACCACTTGGCGCGTCCTTGCCATGTCTTCGCTCACTGTACGAGCTCCGACACGCTGTGAGCTAACATCCAATGCATGCCGGTCCATCTAATTCTTCTTCACACATGCTCTCCTGCCCGATAATCGATCCCCAACAACATAGCCGACAATTGCCATAATCTAACTTGTATCGTGTTATCTCCTCCCTGAATAAACACCATCGCTGTCCTCTTTCCTCCAACCTCCCTTGCACTGCTTTGCCTGATGACTGAACACGACGGTGAGCTGTCAAACTCTCCAGCTTCCGAGTCCGGGCCATTATGGGCACAAATCTCTAGCTTTATGGTTCGGCATGATCTCTCTATGCTGGGATACCTTTCGCATATCCTCCATAACCAGTTCTTAACAAGGGATGATAAGCAGATATGTGCACAGGTGACAAGAGATGCAAGCAATATCTGCGCGCTTCTGTATACTGCAACGATGTCCACCACCTCAAAAGTCCTTGTCTGGTGCTTTAACAGTGTGAAGGACCACATCTTACGCGAAATAGATGTACTGGCCAGCGTCACCAGTGGATTGCACTTCAATGCAAGCCATGCTGATCTTAGCTTTGCGGGAAATGCATTCATTGACGACACAGCACAAGAAATGCAAAATAACGCGCCCTTTCTGTGGGATTTGCTTCATACTCTGATGTCATACGAGTCTCGCAGTGGACGACGAGTTATATCGAGATATGAGAACCAGCAGAAGATGGCCAAACAAGACCTGGACCTTGGAGAAATCGGAGGAGACATGAACCTTGATTCGGACATAGAGATTCCTTCTTCAAGTTCTCTGCTACCACACTCCGATGCAACAGTGCCTGCAGATCTTAGCCCGGAACAAAGGGCTGCAAACTACAAGCGGCGACGCCAGCGTGAGCGGGCGATTGAGAGGCGAACATCTCTTCGAGTAATAGTGCGTCTCCGTCTATATTAACTATATTTACGTTCTAAGCACCGATATGCTAGCGTGCAGTGATGATCATTAGCATTATTCTCCAGACCGTCAACCAGCAGTGTAACCGAATTCAAGCAATCCTTGGAATCTTCTTCCACTCTCTCAATGTTCCGGAAAAAGTTATCGAAACACTCGCACATGCTGGACTCTCCATCAGCCTCAGCTCTATTCATCGTTCTGTCACCAGTTTAACCGGACAAACTGCTGAACTGATAAAGCAACTTGTCCGTACACTGACGGCGCAATTTGTCTACGACAACTTTGATATCACATTTCCGACCAGCGAACCAACCGTCGAGAACCCGGGCCAATTTGTCAGTGCAACCTCAGCAACAGTTATTCCACTTTCGGGTGTCAGCTCTGTGAATGCATCAGCACTCAAATGCGCAGCAGAACTTTGGGAGCGTGATCCACTCAATCCAGATCCGTCAGCCCGAGCATTGTCGAATGGCTCGGAAGCTGACCTTTTTTATGAATTTCATCTTGGGGACAGCGATGGACGTCGTGGCAGCAGGTGAAACATTTTCGGCGCGTGAAAAACGGTTTTCATGGCATGCACTGGACATTCTGTTGCGGTATGGAGCACCCAATAACACATTTTTCAAAGAGAAACTGAGGGATATTGGATTGGGACCAGAACCCGTTCGCTTAATTCCTCTCCGAAAAACTACTCAAGTTCCTTGTCGTGCAATGAAAATCAAGTGGCAGTCGACCACTGATGGGAACATCCAAGTTATCGACAACCTACATCTACAAGGTGGAATCGGAGAGCCAGCAGAGACAACCTTTGGTGCGGGGGATGTTGATATCACTGGCTCAATCCTTCTCTTTCATGGCGACCTGCTGACAAAGGAGCGAATTGATGGTATCCGAGCTTCCCGAGCAATTGAAGCAACCCAGAAGGCTCGATTTCAGCATATTGTTGTAGTTCCGGGACTATTCCACTTCAAGATGGCTGCAGCAGACACACTGTGGCGAATATTTATCAAGCCCACCGATTCACGCACTGATGTCAACTCTCTCATGCAACATTGTGGAGTGCTACGCCCTAGAGAGACAGGAAAATTTGCTAAAAAGCCTGGATTTCGAGCCACCCATGATCTTATCACTCATGATATCCGAGCTGCTCTACTCGATTGCTTCCGTCAAGAAATTCACTGCCTTGATTCAAAACACATCGGCATGACAATTGAGCAATACGCAGCAACAGAACCGTCCCTCTCTAGCCTAAGAAAATTAGCTGACACTGTTGTTCAGAAGTATGTGGCACGTAGTAGGGACTTGGGTATTATGCGGGATCGAAAGATTGCAGAGCGAGACAAGCGATTCGAGAATCAGACTCTTCGAAACAGAGATGAGCTGATGTATCTCGACTTGTCACATGCAATGAACGTGGGCGATATCGGGGCAATTGAGGCCACAATGGTCTATTGGTGCTATCTATTCAAGGCAACTGGGAAGCATAAGTATTCCTGGCACACCCTGAACTTCTTAAAGGATCTCAAGTCACGATTCTCTCCGGACTTGCGGTAAGTATGCTCCTCTTATCTTATCTTATAAACTGAATACTGTATGCAGCGAAATCATTCGCATCAACTGGTTGGTCAACCCAACGGGAAAGCCTGGCCGTTTTCGTGGAGTGGATTTGGCTCATGGAGCTCAACAACTTATACACCAAGGTGATATACTCGGGCTCTAGCTCAAATCACACAATCGACCATATAGTCAAAGAGTCACCACTCATCGAGTTCTACCGACATAGTCATGCAACGATTGAACACGGGTTTCATCTCAAACATCTTACTCTACGCCATGCTCCGCCAGACATGACACGAACAACAATGAAATTATTAGAAAAATTCCGCCATACAAGGCCCCACCAGTTCACGCCAGGCCGAGAAGCAGATTATGAAATTCCCGATCATGTTGTCCTTGCAATGGGTATCAACCAGCATCTCAAGAAGAGCCATGAGCATGAAGCAGAAATTGCAGAGGATATAGATACACTAGAAACTATTGAGGCGGACGATTTGATCCCGTTAGGGTGCTGTAAGTTGATCTGGTTTACAAACCAGTTAGAAACATGTTTTTAAAAACAGTGTTAGTTTCTAATTCCTGGGGGTGGGGGTGTTTGTAAACAGCCATGTGTGACATTATATCACATCAGTCACACAATCAACACTGCCAAATATGGTAATCTCCTTCTGGATAGTAGATACCTAGTTGCTGAGATGGAAAATACTCTTGCTATCAAGAGGTAGTCTAATGATAGGGTGGTACCAGACTATAGAAGTAGTAGTACTAGATAATTATTATAGACACTAAAGTATATTAAGTAATCCCCCCCCCCTTGTTTCAAAAACTGTTTATAAACACCCCTGTTTTTAAAAACTATTAGAAACACCTGTAAGTATTGGCTGGGGAATTACTTACAGCACCCTAGATCCCGTGATTGACATAGGAATATTTTGCGAGCGTGCCTTCGAGTAGTTTGGACAGTTTCGGTTCGATGCTGCATGTATGTTAGATATTTCACTTTCTACAATTTAAGATCATACCAATATGGTTGGTTGAACCACAATTCTTACAGGTTCGCTTCTGCTTTGTCTTTGGCAATGCGAGATTCACCGGACATATCTGAAGTGGCACTACTGGTGCAGCCACAGTGGATATTGCGGCTGCTGGTACAGGTGCTGGTGGAGGTGGGGGGAGGCGGAGGCGGAGGAGGTGGAGGAGGCGGAGGGAATTGTTGGATTATTTTGATAAGTGTCTCTCCGTGATCGACACTATATCGCCACTGTGTTTGGTGCTGGAAGACCTCTAGTGTCGCTTGGCGTGCAGCAGGCGAGTCAAGATCAAGAGGAAGAAGAGAATAGTGAGCAAGATTGATTATCCGGTCACGAATCTCATTTGAGAGGATGAACTGAGGCCCAAAGAAATCGTTCTCCAGCCCTAAGGAACACACTTTCTCGTATCTCCAGTTATTGAGAGCATCGCGCAGCGCAATATCGGAAGATTTCCAAGTGAATTCGTCGGGTTTCATCTGATTTTTACCACGTTTGTTGGGAGCGATTGGTGGTATACGACGTGGAAGGAAATATGTTGGATCACAGACTGAGCAACAGGAACGAGGGCTTCGTCCACCACAGCGTTGATTTGCACAACCACAGATTGACACTGAGATTAAGTCAGCCGCTGACCTGCAGTTCATTGAATGAGTTTACCAACAACAGGATTCTTGAAGTATGCGTTAGCAATGCGTCGCGGACAGACGATGCGAGACTGGCAGTTGATGATCCAGTCCATCATGAGCGTATCATACTTGATGGGTTCCATACCATGCGGAGACGGAAATTTAGGCATACTGGTGGTCGAATTATTCATGCTCTCCCATCTCTTCTCCTCTGCTCTGTCCATCTCGTCGAGACTGATTTTAACAACCTGCGTACTGCCCACCTTCCGCCTCTTTGGCGGTGGGGCTTCGCCATCCAACTGCTTTCGTTTCTTCTCCTTCTTTTGCTTTGCACCATCGAAATGTGAAGATTCGACAAAATACACGCCTAATGCATCTATTGATGGGTCCCGACCAGCCCGCCCAAGGCGCTGCATCAACGTGCACAATGAGACGGTGTGGCCCCATTGAATAACCATTCTCACGTCTGGAAGATCGAGGCCCTAAGGAAGTAAGTATCAGTTGGTTGAGGGAACGAAGCCGTACCATTCCAGCAGCATCAGTACACACAATGCCAAACATCTCCCCCACTCGAAGCTTCTCCATCGCATCTCGCCGGAACGTATCGGACATCCCAGCATGGAACCACGCCACCTTTGCACGAAAGACTTCTGGAAGCTCGTTCCAAATCTGTTTGACCAGCAGCTCACTCTCGCGGCGCTTATTTGTGAAGATCATGAATTTCGGTGGTCGTGTTATATCATCCGCATTCGCCGGAAAATGTAGAACACGTTTAAGATCGTGAATCTTGCTTGTTGTTGAAACCATCTCTATGACCTTGAGATGGATGTTTGGTCGGTCATTTGAAAGTCGGATCACTGCGAGTTCTTCGGCGCGTATTCCAAAAAGCGTTCGAATTTCCGATGAAACAGGAGCGGTGAAGGTGGCAGACAAAAAGTGGAACCGAACGTGTTTTGGTAGCAACCACTGCAAGGCACTGATGTCCTTATATGCTGGCCGGAAGTCAGCCCCTCCCCAGGCGGTGATACAATGTGCTTCGTCGAATGTCACGTTGAAGAGGTGAGCGAGAAAAGCGGGAAGAGTCCAGAGAGATCGAAATTCAGCATTTTCCATAAAAATCTCGGGGCTAGAAATGACTACACGGTATTTGAGGGCACGAACATCCTAATCATAAGATATAAACGCAGTTAAACGCGGAAAAACGCGTCTACGCACTTTGATCTTCGCACTCAGGTGTCGGTCAGCTACAAGATTGACCGCTGAGATACCCATCTTTTCCAACAGCTCTCCTGCATTCTTTTCTCCCAAAATGTTGAGTGGAGTGACCATAATTTGAACACCGTCATGAAAGAGGAGCGGGAGCCAGAAGGTCATAGTCTTTCCGGAGCCTGTCGGTGCAATAGTGAAGACATGTTTCTGCTCCAGCTGAGAGCGTACGGAGTCGAGCTGAAAGCTGCACGGGGTGCTGAGATGACGATTTTGTGCAGCTGCTAGAATTTCAGTGCGTGTCGGAGCTCGTACAGTGAGCGAAGACATGGCAAGGACGCGCCAAGTGGTGAGTGATGGGCCATCAGTGGTGGTGCCAAACACGACCAACACCATTTGGTGCCAGGCGCTCGCAGTCGTAAGTAAATCGAAAAACTCTGGCGTCACATTGTCACATATCATCAAATTACACCAAATCAGGTATATTCAATCAAACTGACACTTGCTCTAGGATATCGCAGATTTACGACGGAGCAGTGACTGGTTGGAGGCTGGGGTTGGCCTAGAAAATTGTCGCTAGCTGTCAAGACGCGAGTCCTTTTACACCTTCCGCAAATGGGCTAAGGTAAATCAAGAAGCTCGATGGCTGCTGCCAACTCTCCGCGGCCATCTCTCGCTTCCCTTCCGCCAAGATTTGGCGTCCCACCTCTCTGCTCAGCGACCACGACGATGCAGGCCCGGCGTTGCGTCGGCCTGCATCCGGGCTGCCTCACAACTTGGCAACAGAACTGCCCCGGGCTTCCTCCTGCCAACTCTCGCTGCCACGCTGCCACTCGCGGCTCGACACTCCTGCTGCCACAGTGTCCGCTCGACACGACCACTGCCGCCCGCAGCCTACCAGCCCAGTTGTGCCCACGCGCTTCTGTGACTACGACAAGGTGTGTTGCCACTGCTCGCACATTACCCCGCTGACATTGCATCTAGACTGGTGGCCTCTCAGGCTGGACCTCAAGCACGCGTCGCACGCATCCCCTCACGGGCTTCACCTCCCCTCTCACCCTGCTGGAATCTACCCCATCACCCTTCCGCACGCGTGCACAGTGCAAGGACAACAACAACTAACACATATTTTACGTGGCCAACTATCTACACCTCCCAACGGCGCACTCGCGCGCGTCGGCAGCATAGATGGTTGGTGCCGATGCTCAGGTCATTCACCTATTATATTTGGTGCGTGTGAACGTTTCTACATGCCCTGTCTACGCTGTTGACGATGCTGCAGCCATCCTTGCTGCTTCTGCTCGGGCTTTCGCTGCCGCCGCCTCCCGCTTCGCGATATTGGCCATAATCTTGGCCTCTGACTTGCGCCGCTGCGCGCGGCTTCGGATACATGAAGTGGTCGACGTCATGCTCGGTCGCATGATACTTGTCCCGTCAACCGCGTCCTGTGCATGTCCAACGCTGTGCGCAGTCGGCTTTGAATTTGTAGTACAGATGCTAATTAGAGTCTGTTTCAATGCGATTTTGTTTATCGACATCCGAGTTCCAGCTGATGGCAAAGAGGTCGTAGTCGATGTTCTTGTAGACCTCATTCAGCATTTGGGTGATGCTCGTTGAAGCCAAACACGCGCCGTTCCTCGCTGGTTCAGCTTCTGCAGCAGGAGGAACCAGGTCTGCCTCAGAAGCGTGTCCGGCAGGTGTCAGCTCTTGCGGTGCAGACCCACCAGCACGACGTGGCTCGAAAAACGCAGGCACGGGGGCATTCTTCCGGATGAGAGGAACGGGCCCATCGCACACGCGCCGGTGCCGCCGTTGGGTGGTTGGTGGATCGGCCGTGTTTGTGGAGGCAGCAATTCCTTTTCGGATGTCGTCCGGCGTTTGGCCGCGAGCCTCCCCAGTTTGGGTTGGCGTGCCGTTTGCCAGTCAGAGTGACGAGCGAGCGGCTGCGTGGATCATCAGGCTCCACGTCGGAGTCGTTGAGCATGGCCGTCCCTGGTCAAGGGTAGTCCCCACCCCATAATCTCCGCCCTCACAGCTGTCCCAGTCAACGCGGAGGTGTACAGAAACATCTCTCAGATTCTCTCTATTGCATCTAATAAGGATACAGTTGCAACCCCAGTCTGTGCAAACCCCAGCGCCGCATGCGCACTCTCCGCCCGCTGCTTGGCGCAACCCTAGCCGGTCCGAGTCGAGCCGATGACTCATGAGGCTGACTTGAATGTGTCAGCGACCCAAGTCCCAATTAGGGACTTGGGTCCAACAGGCGTGGGTGATGAGCCGGAATAAATGTGTCAGCGACCTGGGTGATGAGCCGGAATAGCCGGAATATGGATACGGTAAGCGAGACGGTTGAGGTTCGATTTCGATTTCGACTTGACAGATCTCATCTGTCATGGGCTCGGCAAGATAAGAACCATCAATTGTGATTGTTTCTTGACCCCCGCCTTCACCAGTTTTTCCAGCTGTCTATCCCGGGGTTAGGGAGTGTTAACGGAGTAGTAGGAAGGTGTCTAACAGCGCCGCCATGTGGGGCAAGAGGGAGGTTAATGTGGGGAAGTGTTGATGTGACGGGCTTTACCAGATGACAATCATTCAGGATGGCAAGGAGGACCGACGAGTTGTTGTCAAGCGTGTTTATCGGGCCTCGGACGACGACGACAGACTCTCGACATCGAGCAATGTCACTGCGGTTCAAAACCGGGCGCTGCTTGAAGCCGACTGTGTTCGTATTTCCCTTGGACGCAAATTACTTGCCGACTTCTTCTCGTACGCCAAGGAAATGGATGTTGCCATCTTTACTGGTGTGTTTCCTGTCTCATGCAGATAGATCTATACTGATAAGACTACTTAGCCATTGAATTTACTCCTGCCTATCTCGCTACCGAGAAGTCTATCCAAGTCACCCGTGCCCCAAGTGTGGCATCAGACCTGGAAAGCTTCGACAGTAGCGGCGACGGCATCACTTGGCTGGTAGAGGACAAACGCGCCGCTGCTGTCATCCAGTTCACCTCCACTCTCAATCACAAGGCACGCGGCACTGACCTCCAGACGCTCACGATCCATAGCTTTGCGCATTACGTCTTTGGAGCTACCAATGGGACGCTCGTTATGGCGGACATTCAAGGAACTCCGGCCACGGTCCGAGGCAACGATGGACTTATCCTCTTCGACATCATGACTCACACTCCCGACGGGTTTGCTGCCTGCCACTTTTTTCAATGGTACTGACTTAATTTGTTAGTGGGTCTGGCCTTGGCGACTTTGGGATGGACGGTATTGAGTCCTTCGTCAACTCTCATCAGTGCAACCAGCTCTGCAAGCGTCTTGAGTTCGACGAGGTCTTTCCGCTTGAGCTGGCAGCGGATGTTCTCGGACCGGATGTGACAGACGGATCAGAGGGAGGGATTACCGGAGATGACAACTCGGCCTTTTCGGGCGATGATCAAGCGTAGTCTGTCCCTCAAATTACTACCTGTAAAGCTACGATAACAACTGTGCGATATCACTGCTATGATGCGTCCATGGATGGTGTCTGTAGCACTTAAGTGATCTCGATCGGCCTATAGTCCGATATCGGACATCTTTCCGATCTTGGCATCTTCGATCTGTCAAATCGAAATCGAACCTCAACCGTCTCGCTTACCGTATATGGAGCTTCGGATCTTGAGGGAGAGGGAGATGAAGAGGAAACTCCGATCCAAGTGCGATTGCCGTCCGCCGTCCCAGCGCGCTAAGTCGTATGATTCAGTTGCTCATCTGAATATCCCGCAGTCGCATTATAAAAGAGAAACTATAGTGCCATTGTGGGTACATCGTTCTGGATTGGCCTCGCTCGCTGTCCAGATGGGGCGGATACTAGATCTGTGTAAATTGGCGGGAGGGCTATACTATGGGCCCCGCAGTGCTCCTACAAGAGGGAGGGCCTCGGTAGCCGACCATGTAGCTAAGACTAACTAATCCTAACTAACACAAGCACGCAAAAAGGGTAGTAAGCTGGGGATGGTGGGCGGGACAAAAGAAACTAGTAGGTGACGAAGGCGATGGCGCTGGGGCCAGGAATGGGAGAGCAGAGATGGGGGCGAAGGAAGAAAAATCTCTGAGTGTGACGGAGTGTGATGTCATGTGCTCACTGCCAATCCCGACGGTCTCACCAGACCACCCATCTTCCTTGACCATCATGCCTCCAGACCGTCGTCGTGAGTGGATACCTGATTTGAACCGTTTGAGCTGGTTTAATGGGCCTAGGCTCCCGTGAACCAAGAAAATCAGTTTCTGTTCGTTGTCCTTGACATCGACACTAACATTCTACTGAGTCATATTCAAGGGTGGAGCAGCGTTTGCTGAGGCTCTTGGACTTGCAAATGACCCAGCGTTATTTACCTTCTACAAAGTGCGTGCCCCTGTAAGTCCCTCGACTGTGACCTGTCTGACAATCCGTACAGAAAGAATTCCGTCAAGCCGCCGACCAGTGCTTCGACTTCTCCCTGCCTCTTTTTCAACAACAATCAGCAATGACGGTTTTTGTTCATACGGTATGCAGTCCTCTTTTCGTTTCTCATCGTTAGAATTTCTTCGCAGGTGACGTCTTGGTACCCTCCATTGTTTGACAGCCTTGTGCATCCCAACCATGCAGAGCGGGTCCAGGGCCTCCAAATATACGCCATAGATTACTTGGGCAAGTCGGGCAAACTCTCGAATTCCATCAAAGGAGTTGGTTGTTTATTCTATGCCTTATCATTGGTTGAACGTCGATTAGGCCAAGAAAGCACTCATTACAGCTTCTGATAGCAACCGTGGCATGCAGGTTGAGCGTGATAAAAGTGAGAGCGAAGAACTCCCACCAAGAGCAAGAGAAAGTTCGGAGTCGATTGTTACAACAAAAGTGTCGTCGTTGTCAGGTGGTAGAAGGGGTGCAGGGACTCGGAAGAAAGGGAAGGGGAAGCCTGGCAACTCGTCTAATGCTTCGACGACAACGCAAACGACTGGGATTCTGGAACCGTCATACTTGGGTGCTAATAGCTATGCGAGCTCCTCTCGGTCTATGCCATCTCCCTTATTTTGGCAGCGTAGAAATGCATTGGCGGATCATACGAGCGACGATTCGATCGCACCTCAGACTGGCAGTATTGAAGCCTTTCTCGCGGGCTGCACGCCTGTGATGACGCATCTTACCGAGCAGATGCATGTAGCCGGGGTCACGGATATGGAGAAGGTGCTTGGCATAAAACATTGGTCTGAGGATGAGCAGCGCGCATTTTTGAGGGATCATGTGACTCAGATTCCACTGGAAATCGAGACAATCATCGTTGGCATCGCAGTAAGAAATCAAATCTCTCGTGCAAGTTCATGCGGTAATCCGTTGTTGATAGGTACTCTGAAATCTGGGAATGCATTGAACAAGGTGAGTTGCATTTGGACTAGTACTGCTTTACGCAGTTCCACCTAAGCTACTAAACAGTCCAGTACATGTCAAGAACCGATTAGATAAGCTAGCGATGGAGGGAAGAAGATCAGCCTGCTGGTATGACGGTCTATGACGGTCCGTCCTGGACAAAACTAAAAAATAGTAATGATGAGACAAATTTTCAATGATAAATGATGACGCACCTAGTGCTTGGCTTTAAAATATGATGATGGACTTTGGTGATTGTGAAGTGCAAGTTAAAGGAATGATCATTAGCAACACTTGATGCAAGCTTGGTGATTGTCGATACAGTGCTGGTGCTGGTCATTGTTCCTCCACCAGGGTCAATGACCAACCACCAAACGCTTGCCTGGTGTATGATATGACTGACATTGCCCGTTTGTCATTTGTTTTATTGCTTGGGTCATGTCGCTAAGGTTTTATCAGTGGAACGGGCAACTTGAACGACTCGCAACACCAAGCCTTTCATGCGCACAGTGAGAGCAAGCAAAACGGCGACAAGACTTCTGCTGCAGTGGTCGCTGGTGGTATCATGCACAAAAACAAATGTAGGGTGCTGTGAGTAACTGTGGTTTCGGAAACGGTTTTGAAACCGGTTTCGAAACACGTGTTAGTTTTGAATGCCGTGGCCGGCCGACCCGGTTTCGAAACCGACACGTGATTCTCCGGCAAGCCCGGGCCCGGCTGTCAGGGCTTGATGCCCTCCCAATATCACCTGCACTTACTGGCGGAAGGCCGGGCAGATGGGTGTTCACGGCAGTGGGGCTCCACTGCTGCTCCAGTTGGGCTTGGCGCATAGTGTGCCTCGGGATTGTGATACCCGGCGCTGTCCCGAGCCGCCGACTGTCAGCGGACCCCCCCCGGCCGGCCGGTTTCGAAACTGTTTCGAAACGGGGGGGTGTTTCGAAACCGGTTTCGAAACCGGTGTGAGTAATGTTTTTTGCATTACTCACAGCACCCTAAACAAATGGAAGCATTCAGCCTGGCAATTGAAACAGGCTGAGCAGAAGAACGACGTCAAAGTTATCAATGGTGCTCACAGGCACGCGTAAACGAAGCTTGATTCGTCGACAGCGCAGGTACGTTGTTGTTTTACTAGCTGGATGATATACTGATTTGTTTTCAGGTACGACAACAGCTCCGGACACTGGGCAATCGCACAGAAGCGTGGTGGAAGGAGTCGGAAGCGACGGCGGTCTAGTCTGGGACTCGGTGTGGGCAGGACTGTGAGCGACGAGTACGTTTTCGATGTATTTAGTAGCAAAAAATGGATTGGATTGTACCAAATACAGGGAAACTATCGATAAGTAAGCCCGGCAGACCAGGGCAAGCCCCGACAGCTCACGGCACAGCAGGGCAGCCGTTGGCAGACGACGACAGCCAGAAAAAGTTATGAGATAGCCTGCCAGGACTTGCCCACATCTGTCGGACAGATGTGTGGGCAGGCCCTGGATAACCACAGTCCCCGCCGTCGCCGTCGTTGGACATCAACGACGGGTCGTCAATGATCATTTGTTGCCCTTGTTGAGGGTCTGATCCATCATAAGACATTCGAGGAGCAACACCGGCCATGTGCTGCAACTCTAGCTCTCCTGCGCGAACCTGGTTGTAGATTTTTCTGATATCTGACGCCTGCTCCCCTGCCTCTTCGTAAGAATAGCTGTATTGCTCAAGACCAGCAACACAGTTCGATACTTCTGGACGGCCAAGGCGAGCGAGAAGGTTTCCAGATTGGACAACACTGACGAGCATGACGGCTGGATCAAGTCGCTTTCGAGGAGAGTGAGCTACACGGTCGGAAGACTCGATGGTAACATACAAGGTAGCCATTTGATGTCAAAACACCGGCCTACAAAAAGCTTCAGCAAACAAAAAAAACAAGCTGAACGATAAGAGGTCTCACCAAACCAGCTATTCGAAGAGCGCCATGTAAGGCCTCGTCAGCCACTTTTCGCATGACCTAGAAGATGAGGACTTTAGCCTCCGAGAGACTAGCAACTTACCAACTTGTCTATTTGGGAATAGTTCGGGACCATGCTAATAGGTTGGTTCATCCGAATGACCTCGTTGACTTCCTTGACTCCGAAATCTAAACATCTAGTTAGGCACAACGAATCATGGAGTAATTGGATGAGAGTACCATCGAGAGCAGTGAACAGCACAACCCACATGACGTGATAAGTCGCATCGCTGGCACAAGAGGAGACGGCCTAGAGACGCGAGATCAACTTGATAGCTCGTAGCGGAGAAGCTCGGACTGACCGACACAAAGTCCCATTCGCCCTCGAAGTTGCTGGGTACTCCAACAAGGGTAAGAAATTCGTCGCGCCATGAACTCAGCTGGGATGTCAATCCATAGAGAATATCGAAGGGAATGCCATCTGAGTCTGTTGATGGCCGCCATAAATGTCTTGACATTGACCGGGCAACGCGGGCGAGAGCATGGGCAGCGCGATAATAACCCTATTCATTCCTGTCAGCCGATAAAAAATAGAGTTGGATTAATGCGTACTAGAAACTAAAAGGGAGAAGAGTTGAGTTGGAGTTAATATGTTGGCTTAGACCCATTACCTCTAGTTGTTCCCTAGGGTTCGGCGCAGGCGTATGTGAGTCAACTTCTGGAGGAGTTGGATCCACAGTGTAGAAATCAATATCGTAATCATCATCGTCAAGAACGGGTTTATGACGATAATAGACAGAGCCATATGCATCCGCGATGCAAGCCATCCAAAATGCAAATATCATGGTCCCTCGCGCGTCAGGCCTACCAGTAAGAAGTAAGCTAAAGCACCACATATAAGGAACCAGGCACGCACGCGGATATGGTCGTGAGCACCGATTTGTGATTTACCTGAAGTTTGGGCTTCAATGAATGAAGGAAGGTGAGAAAAGATCGCCCTACTTGCAGGTCAAGAAGATGTCGAGTAGCTGCGCTGACCCAGAAACAGTGGAATCCTGGCAATGTGCGTTAGCAGCCGATTGGCTACCAAATTATCGACCCACTGTTTGGATCATCCGGGTTTTCTTGGAAGAACGCACGTCAAAAGGAGACCGCTTTTAATAATTGATAGCGTACGACTTTGGAGTGGTTCAAGCAGAAGACCAATGACAACGTGATCTGGTGACGGAATACGATGGACCTTGAGCGCTTCTGCGAGGTCTCGCGCACGGTCAATTAGTGTCTTGGCCAATAAACTCTGTCCGCCGGGTCGTTGACGATCAGCAACGAGCAAAGGGTGCTCAGAAAATTTGGTTCCCCATGCTATTACGGTGGCAACCAACGCAGGATGCAATGTGTCTTCTGAAACACTGTTATCTCCCGGTTGGAGCCGTAGTTGACTGCGGAATTGTTCGGGGTTGAGAAGAGGGATGCGTGTGTGGACGATTTGGAAAAATACTTCAACAAGATCTAGTGCGAACCTGGAGGCAAAATGAGGAATCATGAAGCACGGAGATTCGCACGGCAAACCCACTCGGCGCGAAAGACGTCAGAGTCAAGTTTGTGAGCCAGTTCTCCCCACTGCGAAAACGATCCAGGAGGACTAAGCAAAATGAGAACAAGATACAAAGAAAGGGAAAAGGCGAACTTTGCATTCTCTGGGGCTGCAAACACATAGGCAAGGACTTCTCGCGTCGGCGTTTTGAGTGTGATTGGTGGGTAGAATCCATACTTGACTAACAGCGGAAGAGCGTGAGGTGCTACGGAGAGCTGATTGGTTGGTGAAGACACGCCGTCAGACGGAGCGATGCTGCATTTAGGGTGAGTGGATGTTTGCTCAGCATGGGGAAGGTCGTTACATCTTGGACGGACCGGGCCCTGGGGGCTAGACCATCGTCAAGACGGAACGACGACAATGAAAGATGCAATATACCTAGGTTTGTTATAAGCAGGGTTGGCTACAATGACAAGTCGAAGACATACCTGGCAGCAGAAAGATTCCTCGGCCTTCGAGTGAGGGTAGTTGACTTCTTCTTCTCGCTTGTGGCCTGTTGTACATAATGGCTGCTCGTGGATCAACGAGGAAATACTAGATCGTAATGCTGATGAACGGACGTGCAGGGATAGTTCTTCGACAGACAGTGCTAGTCAAGTAGGTCATTTGTGGCGACAAAGGAAAGAGATAAATGCCCACTTGGCACTGTGGGATGACATTGAGACGCGTTGATAAAGCTCGAGTGACCCCATACCTTGGACTCAGTTGGTAACTTGACGCATTTCACTTTGCGAGATCGGCAAGCGTCGCAGGCAGTATTCTGTTTCCTTGGTGGTGGAAGGGTCTTTGCAAGCTCATGTATTTGACTTTGCATCGAATGACTCGGAAGATTCAGACCTAGTCGTTGAATGAAGCGAATCAAGAAGAGAGAGAGATAATGGGTAGGCCTGCCTGGCTGCGATACGGACGACTCGTGGTATTGCTGCATGGCTGCTTGCTTCCTAACGGTTGAACACGCAACACTGAAAACAAGTTGTGATATGGAGAAAGTATTTGGTTGGTGGGCGGGAACAAGATTGAATTCCAGGATGCGATCTGTCACGTTCGGTACCGCTACGCACATTTTCGTTTGTCACCCACTCCTTCACTCTCAGCCATGGTCAAAGTCGAAATTGTAGAGGAGAACAGTCCGTATGGATCAGAAGCGGGCTCACGGGCATCATCAACGACCTCCCTCTCCTCTGTAGAGTCCGACATTGACAACGACGAGTCTTTCATTGACCGTATTGCTGCCCTTGTCGACATTGTCCCGCTAACAACACGTCATGCCATATCGGAGCGTGTTTCCAAGTCTGCATCCCTCATAAAACGTGGTGGAAAATTCGCGGGCAACCTTGTTTGGATATTGACCACGTCCGCCCTTCTCGTTGCTCTCCCATTGGCCTTGGTGCTGGAAGACGAAGCCAAGATTGTTGCACAGGAAAGAGAGCTTTTAGAGCAACAACAAGGTCAACAGCAGGTACGTTTGGTGTCTTTTCGGCTTTTTTTGCCTGCAAAGCTGACACTTTTTGAGATGTTGGGCCCTTCAATGTACCCGCCAAATCCTAACCAGCCCAAAGCTGTTGTACCGCCAGGGTTCTGAACTACTCGACACCACTTTTATCTGCCCCCCGCTCACGAAAAAATAAAACACGTTTTATTGCCCTTATTGCCACCACTACACTATGCTGTTGTCTATTTGTGAAAAAAAAAAAAATTAGCCGTTGGCAAGGTCGGATACAGGTTATGGACTGACAAGAGAAGGCCGAGCTGGGAATTCGACGGGTTCTGTGTATGTCTCCGCACTACGGTAGCGTCTTAGGTATTTGAGGGCAAGAGGCTCTGTTTCACTGGGCGTAATTCCCGCTCCTCCCAGTCCCCAACGGTTTCGCTGTCATTCAGATACCTTCTCGTGACTTCGTCTGGACTCTGGACTCATCAGAGGCCACCACACAGACTGTGAGAGTTTGGCAACTGCAGTGGCAACTCCTTGTGGCATTGCTGGCACGTATGAGTGGGTAGAACGCAGTGTGACCGCAGAAACAAGGTCAAGCAGGTAGTCGTATGTGAGTGTTGAGGGTCCGGGGAGAGACAAAGTCCGAGAGCTCAAACTGGACTCTGGTACCAGGTTTGCGAGCGCTTGAGCAACGTCAAGGACCTGCAAGTAGTCAAAACGGTGTTGGGTTGGCCCAAGGGAAATAATCATACATGGACTGGCCGGATTTGTGTCTTGCCGGAGTTCAATTTCCACCACCACGGAGACACTGTGAGATATGAGACAATGATTTGGGTTTGAGTTGTATGACGCACTAGCAAGGCTATTCAAAAGCTTGTCTTCATAGCCAAACATACTCCCAGGTCTAACAATCGTGGCATTCGGGAATGCAGCTTTAACGCGCTCTTCGCCAAGGGCCTTGGTTTGATAGAATTTGGATTCGGAGGTTGCGGAAGCATTGAGATGGGAGACGTGGACGAAACGCGACACCCCAGATCTTGCAGCAACGGAAGCAATCCGTTCAGCACCAGAAACATGGACAGACTCGAAATCAAAGTTTCTAGCAGTATTTTCTCAGGTTCACGTATCAGTGTAATAATATAGCCACGCACTTGGTCTCAAAGTCACGGCCAGCAAGGTTGAAAACGATATCAGAATGTCTGAGGCACTCCGCTATCTGTTCCTCATTTCTAATGTCCCATTCCTGATGCTATTGGTTGGAAGCAGACAATGTGCGAGAGTTGACGCGTACCATGCGGACTATCTGACCAAGATCACCCATAGGTTTGAATATGCGTGCCTCATCTTCGTCTCGGTACGGGATGATGACTTGTGTTCCCATTTTAGCTGACCAAGTAGTTGAGGATGGGTGGTCAACCATGAGTGAGCTGGTAACCCACCGATTTTCGAGGCCAGATATCGTCCAAGGAAGCCAGTACAGCCGAATATCGTTACGGTGTGGCCAGACACCGCGCTGTAGCCCGGGGAGGCATAAGAAACGATGGGCTTATTGGTGGAAGGAAGAGTTTGAAGGTCGTGGTATGCTCGCTACGAGGCATAAACGTATGAGCTAGTGAAAATTGAGCATTGGAGTGGGTCGGGCGGACGGAGGTGGTGGCTCGGGATAACGTATCGATAGGTCACGTGCTGCCACATCAATCCTACTACAGCATTCCGACCTTTCCCGATGGTCGCTGCTGAAGAGAAAGTGTGACAAATGTGACGGCAATCTTTACAACTTCTTCAAGCCTTCCAACTCATGGCACAAGGCAAGACGAAGGGTCTTCAAGCAAAACAGACCAATGCTCGCCACGCGCACAAGGCTGCTACCGCTACGAAGAAGGGCAAGTGATTCATTGCGCCGAAGGTTTGCTGCGTCACCCTCGTTTGCTTCCCAAACTTTAGACTCAGTACAGAAAACTGCGCTAGTCAAACAAGCGGCTGTCCAAAAGGTAATGCTCTAAGGTCTTGACTCTGACGACATTCAAACCATGCAGTCCCTCACCGCTAAAAATCAACAAATCGATTGAAAATCAAATGGTCGCGGCTGCATCTGTTGAGGATGGAGGTGGAGAGAAGAGGGCGCAGAGGAGCAGATGGGGAGAAGAAGAGTATGAATATTTGTAGCTATTACATGTCTTTATATACTATTGCTGTTTGTTCTAGATAATTCTACAAGGATGAAGAATAATGAGTAAGTAGAATCAGAGAGAAACTCGGGGAACACCGGAGCTCCGGGCTTGGTAAGCGCCGGCCGGTGAGTGTTCCCAACAGCATCTGGAGGAAAGCTCACCATCATGAGGAATGCACATGAAGGGTGAGTTCCACACTTTACTTTGAATTCTAGATGCACTTATGCTTTTTAGATCGTCCGCGAAAGGGAAATAGGCTATTAACATCTTGCTGGAGTAATATGGCACATTGTTTTTCGCGCATCCGGGAGAAATCAGACCACGAAAAGACAGGCACTTAGGTTCTTCATATGTTGACTTGCTATGTCGAAGGTCTCAACACGAAGGTCTTTTGGACCATTCCGCTCTGGCCAAGTCTCTGTTCCGACGTCAGATGTTGTGTTAAATTCAATTTGGACACAACACGTCAATATGCGAAGGGGAACAGGCTTGCCGCCTTTGCGGGAAAAACCACACAGAAGCGGACCACCGAAAAACGTGCGCGCCATGCAAAACGGAGGCGGAAAACAATGGCATGGACCTAGACGACGGTACTAATTTAGGACCAACACCACCGTGCACGCACAACCTCCAGTGCCTAAACTGCCGGGGTAAACATATCGACACAAACCACGCAGCAGACTCGCGACGCTGCCCAGAGAGGATCGAACAATACGGAACAGCCAGAACCAATGAGAGAAACCTGACAACAGCAAAAGCGAGCGGCGAGTGGGAAACGGTAAACCGAAAGAAGGCGAGCGAACAGGACAGGCGAAGTGACTGAGCCAGGCCGAACGACGGCCCCAAGAGCAAACCCCCCAGCAAACCCAGACCTGACGGCGGCAGCAGGTGCCCTTGGCCTTAGAGCGCACCCGGCGCAGATTGCGGCAGCATTAAGAGAAGCCCAAGATAAGTTTGGTACAGTATGACAGACACGACCCCAACACGTTTCTCGAGACCGATTAGATGTGGACAAATGAATACTAACAAGAAGGGAGACACGATTGTAGCGCTACTCAACAACCCAATCAACGACTTCGACATCCTCTTCCTCCAGGAGCCAAGCTGGGGCAGAATCGGAACAGAAAACGGGGAGCCGATACTAGGACCGCCAGGCCACGGTGCATGGGTTCCACTACTACCAAAGGATAACATACCAGCAGACTCACCACAACCACGAGTAATGGCCTATTATAAACGACGAGAAGACTTCACGGTTACATTACGCTCGGACATCGCATCTGACCTTGACTTACAGGTATTGGACATCACACAAGCTGGGGCGCCAACAACCACAGTAGTTGTTGAAGTTGAAGTCATATCCGCTTACCATACTTGCACATGACCGCTTGGTAATAACCAATGCGCTTGGTAAGGACTGAATACTCGCTCAGTCATCCTCTACCTTTACTTACTCATCGTACTTATAAATCGTAGTCAACATAGTGTAGTCAGCATAGCTAGCCTGAGTATATATACTGAGTAGTCTAGCTCGTCGTCTCTCCAGTCCTGTTGTTATTCACACAGTTCTGGTGAGTTACTTACATGCTTTCCTCTATCTTACATATGCTTATGACTCTATGTAGATATCATCTTGTCAGGTATATACTCAATCCAGTCCTGTTGTTATTCACACAGTTCTGATATCGTCTTGTCAGGTTATGGGCCCCGCCCCTTCTCCCTGCATAAGGCAAGTCCTTCTTGCTCGGATCGGTGCTGCCTCTATTGTACTGTCCTTTATTGGACATGGCATGGCACTTTGTGTCAAGGCTAGTGTTGCCCCTTTACCTACACAAAGCCCTCTCTTTTTACCTATCATTTCTTAACCTAGTATTGCCATTGCCGGCCCTGCTCTCACTTCAGGTTCAAGCGCATAGCCAGTCCTTCCCCAGTGGGGTAAATTCATAACAGCAATATGACGGTTCAACACCGATCATTCTGGCTAGCGACCAGGCCCTGTCAGTGCATGTCAAACTCGATCAGACCTCTGCACAGAAGGGATTGTTGGGGACATCTCCTTAGGGAGTTGCGAGGCTGTGAGATGCTGTCCTGAACAGAAAAGGGTGGACCTCTGTCCTCGTGTGGCAGATGTGTCAAAAGGGAATGATTGCCCATTGTAGTCATCATAAACACCCTTCGGCGGCATATACTATACTTAGATAATTACGTAGTCCTTGGGACAAGCCACCTAAAACAGTTCTTGGACGAACTGGACCATGTGGGCAATACAACTGCGTGCATGGGGCATCTGGGTTCCCTTGGATAGATAGATTTTACTCTTCTTCTGGGGCATTACATATTTGGGGCACACTATGCTAGGCCTTTAGTACTTGGCACTCTGTTGACTGTAGGGTCACAGAGCACTATCCACCTCTCTCTATTGTTTACAACCGATCTGACTTCCTTTGAAGTATCAGATTAAACTGGATCCATCGTCTACACCAATTCTTTACTGGTACCCCGGTGATTACGACGAAGAACACTCTTACTACAACTCTTTGAACACCAGTGGAGGATATAACTCTGCTGAGCTTTACGCTGTAGGAGACCACGAAAATCCAGATTTCGACGATTACGCCGAAAATTACTCTCCTGAACTTCATCGACTCTTTGGTACTCCTTACTATCCAATCCCACCAACCCTCCAGGAACTAGTTGCACTAGAAATGTCGCTTACTGGTACTGTTTCAACTGTCATCCCAAAGTTGGATGGCACCAATTATCAGGTCTGGGAGGAGAGTATTTGAACCTCCTTATGATCCAGAAAGTGTGGGGGCATACTGAAGGAACCATTCATCGCCCTGCAGATGACCAGGTAGAAGCCCTAGCCAAATGGGACGAAGCCAATTGGGTCGCTGTTGGTCTCATGAAGGCCCATATGACCAATACCTTGCAGAGAGAATACGGCTCCAAGGTCAGCGGCACTACCAAGGTCAA